CCTTTATTATTATTTTTTTAAATATATTTTTGTTGATTTCAGAGAGGAAGGAGAGGGAGAGAGAGAGAGACACATCAATGATGAGAGAAAACCATTGATTGGCTGCCTCCTGTACGCCCCACACTGGGGATTGAGCCCACTACCTGGGTGTGTGCCCTGACCAGGAATCCAACTGTGACCTCCTGGTTCATAGGTCCACGCTCAACCACTGAGCTGCGCTGGCCGGGCCTGGTTGCCCACCTTTAGAAGTTCATGGCGAGGGTCTCTCAGGCTGCGTCTGCGTTGAGCAGGGGCTTTTGTTGAATTATAGTTGGTTAACTTGTTGAGGTTTCAGGGGGAGAGGCCAAGGGGATCGCTCATGCCACCATTCCTCCGACTCACTTCATCCTTATCTCTGCAATGGGGATGATAGAATCTGTCGCATTGCCTGATGGGAGGGCGAAACGCATCCATTTGCATAGTGAGGATGCTATTTAATTTTTAAACATAAAAACAGGCTCAGCCGCCCGCCCCTTCTCACACCATCTCCTCAGACGGGCGGTAACAGCTGGGGCTGCCCACCCTTCGAGGATGTGCTTGCCTCACCGACTGCAGTGGGAGACTGGTCCCCTGGAGGGCTCAGCACCCCTCCACTGTAGAGTCAGGATTCTTAGCCCCACGCTCAGAGGGAGGCCTGCCTAGCAGAGGGCATTTCCATCTGCTTCTTCACGACCCGAGGGGAACATTTCCTTATCCCAACACCAGATTAGGGTCAGTACAAGAGCACTACCCTCCATGGCCGGAGCCTCGCCTGGAAAAAGTGAAAAAAATAAAACCATACTTTAGAGGAGGTGCCATAGCACCCCTGGTGGCACCCCGAGCAAGGGCCTCCTGTCCTTTTGGAACAATTGCAGGGACGAGCGGTGGGGCTGCAGACATCCCCAACATTCCTCCCTTCAGTGAATATTTGCGTGCCTGCCGTGTGCCAGGCGCTGTGCTAGATTCTAAGAAAAACCAGTTAATAGAACCCCAGGTTTCTGCGTTTTCTCATCGTGCGGTCTGAACACAGACCCGTCAGCATCACCATGGAATGAGCACGCACGGTCAGGGCCGGCACAGCCCAGTGCCGGGCGCCGAGTGTCCGGGGCCTGGCCTCGGGTAAGGAAGCCTCTGTGCAGGGGGGCAGCCGCGCTGGTCCCTGAGGGTCCCCAGAGAGACTCGGCGGAGCACCTCTGAAGAGGAGAGAGCTTTGGAGGGGAGAAACCTCAGCATTGGAGAGGGAAGCAGCGTGGGTGAGGGTGCGACGCCTGTGATGAGGTTGGCAGGGACCAGTGATGCCGGCTGACGTAGGAGGGACGTGACATCAGTCGTCATTGCTCTGAGGATGATGCTGAAGATGGGGATGTAGTTATAATACCAGCGGCTCCACACTAACTGCACGCTATCTGCGGCTTCCTTCCCACCACCTCCTGGGCTGGACATGCACGGGGCTGGGAAGAAGAATGTGTGTCTGGGGGGCATGAGAACGCGGGCTGAGGGAGGACTCCGGGCAGATCACATGGGGCCCCGTTATGAACAGTTTCCTATTCTGTGCAGGCAGTGGGAGCCCCGGGAGGCGTCGCAGCCAGGCAGTCATGTGACCAGACAGACCACGCTGCGAGTGCAGGAGGGACGCCCGGCTGGGGCAGGCGGGGAGCCGGCACGCAGAGGCCGCAGCCCCTGCCCTCTTCCTCTCCCAGGTGGTCCCACGCGTGTTCGGGCGAGTGGTGGGGAAGAACCGCGAGGCGGTGGCCCAGGCCATGGTGCTGGAGATGTTCCGAGAGGAGGATTACAACAACGATGACGTCCTGGACCAGATGGGCGCCAGCATCCTGGGCATGGAGGGCCCCCGGCGCCACCCCGACGAGGCCCCCGAGGACGAGGTCTTCGAGCTCTTCCCCATGTTCATGGGGGGGCTGCTCTCTGCCCAGAACCGGGCCATGCTGGCCCAGCTGGGCTGCCCCATCAAGAACCTGGACGCCCTGGAGAATGCCCAGGCCATCAAGAAGAAGCTGGGCAAGCTGGGCCGGCGGGCGCTGCCCCCCTCGGAGCTCCTGGACCAGCTCTTCTTCCACTACGAGTTCCAGAACCAGCGCTTCTCTGCCGAGGTGCTCGGCTCCCTGCGCCGGCTCGACCTGGCGGGCGTGCGCATGACACCCCTCAAGTGCACGGTGGTGGCAGCTGTCCTGGGCAGCGGCAGGCATGCCCTGGACGAGGTGAACTTGGCCTCTTGCCAGCTGGACCCCGCTGGGCTGCGCACGCTCATGCCCGTCCTCTTGCGCGCCCGGAAGCTGGGGTGAGGACCTTGTGCTCGGGCATGAAGAGGAGAGGCTGGCGGGGCAGAGGTGGGAGGAGGAGGTGCCAGGGAGACCAGGGGCACTGAGGAAGGGCCACGGGCCGGATGGGGGTGGGGGTGTGGGTGTGGGTGTGGGTGTGGGTGGAGGGGGGATGAGCAGTAGGAGGGAGGACAGGTGTGGACTGCAGAGGCAGGATGGGGAGACAGGCCAGTGGATGGCCAGCCTCGGCTCAACTTCTCTGGTTTCTCCCTCCCATCGGGCCACCCTCTGCTCCAGCTTGCAGCTCAACAGCCTGGGCCCGGAGGCCTGCAGGGACCTCCGAGAGCTGCTGCTGCACGACCAGTGCCAAGTCACCACCCTGCGGTGAGCGCCTGGGTGGGGGGGCTGCGGGAGGACCGGCCATGCTGGTGGCCAGCTGAGGTCAGGGGTGTGCTCCACCTCAACACGCCTGGCACAGGCCCACTCCAGGTCCAGGACAAGCAGGAGGGCGGATGGGGTGAGATGCCACCAGCAACAGGTGCTAAGAGAGCCTCTCATGGGACTAAAGTCAGCCTGGGAAAGGGGTTGGAATGGAGCCCAGGCCAGTGGCTTGGTGACAGAGCCACTGATCCCGGGATGTGTGTTGCCTCACAAGGATGACCTTACGCTGGGCACTCCGTCGATGCTCCCAGAGTTGACTGACTTACTAGGAACCAGACTTCTGGGCTTCCGATTCCTGGTTGAAGTGAGGGGAGGCGAATGAGGAAAGAGAAAGGAGGGGGGCAAGAAGGATGGGGCAGCGGGCTCCGGGCTCCAGGGAGGAGGTGAGGGAAGAGGGGAAAGGGAGTCAGCAAGGGGAGAGGAGAGAGGAGGTGCGGAGAGAAGCCAGCTCCTGCCCTCTCCCTCTTCTGCAGGTACCACCCCTGCTAGTCTCCACCCTCCCTCCTGGGCCTGCAGTTCTGTGTCCAGGCTGGTCTCCACCCCAGGTTGCACCCTTTGGGCCCAAGCACGGGGTCTCTCCCACAGGCCCTTGTAACCTTGGGGTGCTTGTGGCTGCAGGCTGTCCAACAACCCGCTGACGGCTGCAGGGGTGGCCTCGCTGGTGGAGGGCCTGGCGGGAAACACCTCCCTGACACACCTGTCCCTGCTGCACACGGGCCTCGGGGACGAGGGCCTGGAGCTGCTGGCTGCCCAGCTGCAGCACAACCAGCGGCTCCAGGAGCTGAACGTGGCCTACAACGGCGCCGGTGACACCGCGGCCCTGGCTGTGGCCAAGGCGGCCTGGGAGCACCCCTCCCTGCAGCTGCTGCAGTGAGTCTTGCCCCTGCCCAGCCCCCAGCCCGAGCTGCTTCTCCTCCAATGTTCCTGCCCCGAGTGAGGGGCCTGGCCTCTCTGCCTGGCTCGGAGTGATGTCAACCCACCTGGAGCCAACCCTTCCCTGCTCTCCTTCCCCCATTTGTCCTGGGCTCCTGGTGGCCCCTTCCTAGTCCCTGGTCCCACTAAATTCTGCAGGCATCCCTGCCTCCCGTGGGCCACCACACTCCGGCTCGGGCTCATTGAAGACACACCCATCGTATTACACAGCGGTGGCTGAGCTGTGAGCCCCCCCCCCCTCTGTCCGCTCCCACCCTCTGCCCCTCCCTCTCAGAGCCCTGCTGATGGCACCGCCTCTGCTCTCTCCCGCCAGCCTCTACTTCAACGAGCTCAGCTCCGAGGGCCGCCAGTTGCTGCGGGACTTGGGGGACGCGGCGGAGGGCCGTGCCCGGGTGGTGGTGTCACTGACAGAGGGCACAGCAGTGTCGCGGTACTGGTCGGTGATCCTCAGTGAAGTCCAGCGGAACCTCCACAACTGGGATCGGGCCCGGGTCCGGCGCCATCTCCAACTCTTGCTGCGGGACCTGGAAGATAACCGAGGCGCCACCCTGAACCCATGGCGCAAGGCCCAGCTGCTGCACGTGGAGGGCGAGGTCACGGCGCTCCTGGAGCGGCTGGGGGGCCCTGGCAGCTGAGATGGGCTGCAGGCGCCTGGCCGGCGGCCCTCTCCCCGAGCCCCTGCCCGCCGTGGCCCCCTGCCTGGCCCTGCTGCTCGGTGAAGACTCCTGCGCGGCTGGAGGCAAGGACTGGCACAGCCGTCCCGCGCCCTCCGGGAGCTTGTCCAGCCCGTCCGCCCACGTCGGAGTGTCCAGGGCCACGAGGCACGCCTCCTCGCCAAGGGGCGGAAGGACGAGGACGTGGCATTTCCGTGGCTGAATTGCCCTGTGGCACCACCGCTTACCTGGCCCCTCTCTCCTCCCGAGGAGCCTCTGCCACCAGGGGGCGCACTTCTACTGTCTGCCCTGCCAGGGGTGCTGTCCAGATGTGCTGGGGGGCTCCACCCTTGCCTTCGTGCCTTGTGAGGACGCCCAGGGTCCCCGCAGCCCCTTCCTCTCCCGTGGGTGCTGCGCCACAGCCCTGCGCTCCTCTCCCCACAGGGGCCGTGCGCTCAGGGTCCCAGCGGCGGCCGCCCTGCTATTAAACGCTCCCACCGCTCAGGGCTCTGTGCGCGTCCTTCGGTCCTAGGTTCAAAGGCAATGAGGGCCGGGGGACCCCTTAAGATGTTGGGGTGTGGGGCTCCTACCGCCCCTTTCATGCACACTTACCCCAGGCGGGGAGCGGCAGTGGCTCCGGGAGGCGGGGGGGGGGGGGGGGGGGGGGACAGGCACAGGTGCGAGAGGTGCGCGCGCGCGCGTGCTTCCCCAGGGACAAGACTCCCCCGACATACCCCGCTGCTTCCGAGCAGCGTCTTCAAGGAGGCGGGACTGGGGGGTCAGAGGGAAGGTCAGCTGATCTCCATGGACCTTGTCCCCACTCTGGGCGCCAGGTTGTTGATCCAGCTATGGAGACAGCTGCAGGTAGGAGCTGGAGGAGCCCCCGGAGGAGACCTCAGCAGCCAGGGGTGGCCGGAGGCTGAGGCCTAGGGACCAGGGCACACGATGTTGGGGCCTGGAGCCCCGGGACGCAGCCTGGAGGCGGGGGAAGAGGGCCTGGATGCCGCTACCGTCCTGGGCCACACCCTGTGCCGACGGCTAGGAGGGCTGTGCCCTAGCCTGGGGGAGGGGCGGGGAAGGAGGGGCAGGAAAGCCCCTTTTGGAGCAGAATGGAGGGTCGTGTTCTGAGTTAGGGGTTCCCCTCAGTCCTTTCAGTTAGTGAGCGCGGAAGGGGTGAGGAATGCGCCTCTCCCCCTCGCCCCTTTCGCCCAGCAGGTCTCCAGGAGGCAGCTCCCGTCGCCCTGTAAGTGGTGCCCTGGGAGGGGCTGGGCAAGGGCGGGAGGGGCTGGGGGAACCCCTCAGCTGACAGGAGCATCTCCAGTGGCGTTGGGGTCTCCTTGCAGGAAGTTTGAGTTTAACCCAAAGCTGGGCATTGATAATCCTGTCCTGTCCCTGGCGGAAGACCGTGGCCCCTCTGGTAACCCCCTCGCCCGCCCCTGGGCAGCCGTTCCTTTCCCCGGAGACCTCGCGGCCCCGCAGGCCCCCAGTCCCCTGGAGGCCACTCCCTCGGACTGGCCTCGGTTGGGAGTAACCACGGGGACAGAGGAGGCCAGGCATGTCCTTCTGTCCCGGCCCCGCTGCCCAACACCCAGCTGGGTACAAGTCCACCTGTGCCCTCCCAGAGGGCAGCGTCTGCTGGGCACAAGGTGACTAGCACTTGGGCCTCATCCCTCCTCCCATCTCTGCTGCCCCGCCCCCCAGATGTCTGGCCCCGCCCGGAGCGGCCCCGCTTCTGCCTGCTGAGCAAGGAGGAGGGCGGGAGCTTTGGCTTCCACCTGCAGCAGGAGCTGGGCGGGGCCCGCCACGTGGTGTGCCGGGTGGAGCCTGGCACCTCCGCCCAGCGGCAGGGTCTGCGCCAAGGAGACCGGATCCTGGGCGTGAACCGCCACGCGGTGGAGCAGGAAGCCTTGGAGGCGGTGAGGCTGCACCCCGCCCCCGGCCCCCCCCCCCCCCGCCCGCTTTGGAGAAGCCGCCGCCTGGCGGGACGCCTCCCTCCCCTCCCCCACCTCCCGGAGTGAGGGGTGCCCCGTCAGAACAGCTGGGAAAGGCATCTGGAGAGCTGGTTCTGGGGTGGAGAGTGTAGGTGCCAGGGACAGGACTGGAAGGGGCGCCGGGCCGCTCCACCCTCGCCCACCCTCCCTCCAGGTGGCGCGCCTCATCCGGGCCAGCGGCCCGCGGGTGCTGCTGGCGGTGGTGGCGGGGCCGGCGCTCGACGCGGCCCGAGCCCAGCAGGGCGACGGCGCCCTTCTCTGTCCCACCCTCGGCCCCGGGGTCCGGCCCCGGCTGTGCCACATCGTGAGAGACGAGGGTGGCTTTGGCTTCAGCGTCACCCACGGTGAGCTCCGAGGCTGGGGTGGGGGGGTCAGGGGGCCTCGGCTGGCCCTGGGCAGCCAGACTCACACTTGCTTTTGTGTGTGTGTGGGGAGGGGGACCTCCAGAACATCAAGGCTCTTTCTGGTTGGTGCTGAGTCCTGGAGGAGCCGCCGAGCGGGCAGGGGTGCCCCCGGGGGCCCGGCTGCTGGAGGTGAACGGGGTCGGCGTGGAGACGCTCACGCACAGCCAGCTCAGCAGGCGGGTAGGCGGCTCCCCACCGCCCTCTCCCTGGCCGCCCTGCCTCGGAGCAGACGCCTCGGCCCGAGCCCCTGATCTGCTCCTGCATCCCCATCACCCCTTCCCTGTCCAGTGTGCGCTGTGCCCTCTCCCTCCCCCAGTGCCTCCTGCCTGGGCTGGCAGAGGGGCTGTGAAGGGGCGCCCGCCCCCCGCTGGTCCTGAGGCCCTGCTGGGTCCCCACAGCTTTGGCAGAGTGGCGAGCAGGTGACGCTGCTGGTGGCAGCGCCCGAGGTGGAGGAGCAGTGTCGCCAGCGGGGAATGCCCCTGGCCGCACCCCTGGCAGAGGGCTGGGCCCTGCCCACCAGGCCCCGCTGTCTGCACCTGGAGAAAGGGCCCCAGGGCTTCGGGTTCTTGCTCCGGGAGGAGAAGGGCCTTGGTGGTCGCCTCGGTGAGTGGGAGCCCGCGGGTCGGGGGGTGGGCACAGCGTCTATGTGCACCTACCTCTCGGGTGTCCCTGTCTGCGCCCAGCCCTGACCTGCTGGGGACCCTGTCCGTCCCTTGTGCCTGGCTGACTTGGGGAGCCAGGGGAGGAGCCGTGAGCTTGTCTGTGTCCCAGGGCAGTTCCTGTGGGAGGTGGACCCAGGGCTGCCGGCCGACAAGGCTGGGATGCAGGCTGGGGACCGGCTGGTGGCCGTGGCCGGGGAGAGCGTGGAGGGGCTGGGCCACGAGGAGACGGTGTCCAGGATCCGAGCTCAGGGCTCCCGCGTGGCCCTCACTGTCGTGGACCCCGAGGCTGACCGCTTCTTCAGAATGGTGCGGCCGGAGGCGGGGCAGGGCGGAGGGGCCGCACGCAGAGGCGCGGGCGGAGGGAGCAGCGGGTCTGTCCTCTCCGCCTCCTCCAGGTGCGCTTGTCCCCGCTGCTCTTCCTGGAGAACGCAGAAGCCCCCGCCTCGCCCCAGAGCACCCGCTCGGCCTCCGGGGCTGAGACCGAGGACGCCCCAGGTGCAGACACAGCCCTGCCTCGTGCTCCGCGTGGCTCCCGCCAGTGCTGCTTGTACCCCGGGCCTGGCGGCGGCTATGGCTTCCGCCTCAGCTACGTGGCCAGCGGGCCTCGCCTCTCCATCTCCCAGGTGAGGGACGCTCACGGGCCTTCCCTCCTGCGGCACCTGCCTCCGCTGCCTCCCAGGCCCTGAGAGGGTTCCCTGCGCTGCCTCTCACCCCGCCTCCAGGTGACTCCAGGGAGCTCGGCTGCCCGGGCGGGGCTGCAGCAGGGCGATGAGATTCTGGAGGTGAACGGGCGCCCTGTGGACGGAGAGGACGATGTGGACAGGCTCCACCAGCTGGCCGAGGCCGAGCCACCGCTGTGCCTGAAGCTGGGGGCCAGGTCTCCGCGGGGCTGGTAAGCATGGGTCCCCGGGGCCCTGGAGGTGAGGAAGGAGAGACAGAGGGACTATGAGCAGCTGGGGAATGACCAAGCGGAGCCAGAGAGGTGGGCAGAGCAGGGGGAAGCAGGGTGGGGGGCACGGAGGGTGGGGCTCTAGGCCATGGTCCGTGGGAAGAGAAGGACGATGGAGACGTCCCATTCCTGGGCATTCCAGGGCAAAGGAGCTCTGCCGGCCCTTGAGTGACCTCCCCCCTCCCTCCCTGCTCAGGAGTGGGCTGTAGCCTCGGATCTGGCGGAGCGCTCCCCTCCTCGGCCCAGGCCAGGCCAGTAGGTAGCTTCCCTGCCTTCCCGCTCCAGCGGGGCGGGTGGGAGCTGGAGCTCTGGACGCTGGAAACAGTCACAGGCTGCCCAGCCTCCCTGCCTTCCCAGCCCATCTCCCAGAGGAGGGTGTGGTCAGAGGCCTGCGGTGGCCCACCCGGCTGCTCCCCTCGGACTCCAGAGGAAGCTATGCGGGAACCCAGGACGCTGTGCCCCAGGATGAAGTTCTGCCTGCGATGAGTGCTGTGATTTTGCGATTTGTAAAACAAAATACATATTTGGTCTTCAGACGCTTCCTGGCACAGAGCTCCTACAACCCTTGGAATTTCCTCGGCAATTAGAGCAACCAAGGGGTCTTTTGTGATTCATAAAGTGCTTCTTGCAACCTAATTTTGTTAATGAGGTGACTTTTGGAAGCCTCTAAGGATGGGGAGGGAATGGTTGCCAGGGGAACCAATGGGGTTGAAACTTTCTGCCCTATCCCCCTCCTTACCCTCCCTCCTGGGCTCTTGGGAGGGGAGAGGGGCTAGAGCGTTAATGAACCCCCAGTGATGTCATCAGTCATGCTGCTGTGATGAAGCCTCCATAAAAACCCAAAACACGTGGAGGTGCCCGGAGGGGAGGGGGTGTCCATGGCCAGGGCAGGCACTCTCGTGCTCATGCCCACTCCAGGCGGCTCTACCTTCGGGCTGTTTCTGAATTGTACCCTGTATAATAAACTGTAGACTGTTTCCCTGAGTTCTATGAGCCCCTCTAGCAAATGGTAGAGGGTTGTGGGAACCTCTGATGCATAGCCCGTTGGTCAGAAGCGCAGGTGACCCCTGTACTTGAGGATGGTGTCTTGTGGAATTGAGTCCTTAACCTGTGTAGAGTGTCAGAATTGAGTTAAACTGTAGGACACTGAACTGGTATCCACAGAAGAGGTGGAGAATGTCTTAGTATGGGAAAGCTCCTCCATGTTTGGTGACCGGAAGTAAAGTTGCACCGAGTGCGTTCTCATAGAAAAGAGAAACACAGACTTTTCCCTTGTTGGTGGGCCGTGGGGCCCGCTAGAAGCCATCTGGAAGTTGCCCTGGGCAGGACTCCAGAACTCCTGGATGGATTGCAAGAGTTTGGAGACCAGTCACACTGTCCCTCTGTGAGCCCCGCAAGACTGCGGGCTGTGCCTGACCACTGCTGGTCTATTACAGAAATGACCTTCCCCCACCATCCTGCCTGCCTGTGTTTGTGTGGGTGAGGGTCTGAGGCTATTGTTCAAAGGGACAAAAGGAGCCCCATGCTCAAGGGGTGGGGAACCTTTTTTCTGCCAAGGGCCATTTGGATATGTATAACATCATTCAAGGGCCATACGAAATTATCAACTTAAAAATTAGCCTGCCCAGCTGGCGTGGCTCAGTGGTTAAGTGTCGCCCTATGAATAAGGAAGTTGGGGTTCGATTCCTGGTCAGGGCATATGCCCAGGTTGTGGGCTCAATCCCCAGTGTGGGGTGTGCAGGAGGCAGCCGATCAATGATTCTGTCATCATTGATGTTTCTATCTCCCTCTCCCTTCCTCTCTGAAATCAATAAAAATATATTTGAGCCCTAACTGGTTTGGCTCAGTGGATAGAGCATCGGCCTGCGGACTCAAGGGTCCCGGGTTTGGTTCCGGTCAAGGGCATGTACCTTGGTTGCGGGCTCATCCCCAGGAGGGGGTGTGCAGGAGGCAGCTGGTCAATGTTTCTCTCTCATCAATGTTTCTAACTTTCTATTCCTCTCCCTTCCTCTCTGTAAAAAAAAATCAATAAAATATATTTAAAAATATATATATATATTTGAAAATAAAAATTAGCCTGCTATATTTGGTCAAACATTTAATTAACTCACCCCTAATGCCTTGGCAGGGCCAGACCATATAGGCCTACAGGTCCGGACGTTCCCACCCCTGCTCTAGGAGCAGGTCTAAGACCTTGTCAGATTTCTCTCCCATCATTCAGTCTTTGGGCTAATGGGTCAGCCCAGAACCAAGATGTTCCCATGAGAGGCACTCATCTTCGCCAAAAAGCTTCAACCATAGTTCTGTTGACTTCTACATCAAGGCGGCTTTCTTGCTGGGCTCCAGAGGCCCCGGAGGCTGTTTGCACAGGTCCAGGGGGTTGAGTCCAAGCTGCCAGAGCTGCTCCTGGTGCCTGGCGTGGAGTCTCAGCCCCACGCCACCCCACCGAGGCTCAAGGGCTCTCAGCTTAGCCAGGAGCTGGTCCAGGCTGCCCTGCAGACACCACGCCTCAGGCTCCGGGAAGGGAGAGGGAGCGTGAGGGGTGCCCGGGTGGGTCTACATGCTTTCCTTGCCAGTGTTTTCTTCAAGTGATTGGTCTTAGTGGGTGGGCATGGTTGCATCCTCTCAAGATAGAGCTGAGTTCCCTGTGGGGATCTGCTTCTCTTGCCCCTGGTCTGCGGTGATGGGGGAGCACTGCGTATGGGTGGCTGGGTTCAGAGGGTGAGCTTACCTGTAAGATTTCCTCACACTTGGCCTCCACATCTGACACGTGGGTCTGGAGCTGAGCCCGAGTCTCGTCCCGCTCCCTGAGGGCCTGCTTGGCCACTCCCTGCGCAGCTGCAGTCTCTGCCCGGCGCATCTCTGGGGAGTGGGCAGAGGATGAAAGAGGACAGGATGGCGACACTGCCCTTGAACAGAGTCTCCAATGGCACACAAAAGGGGGACTTGAGTGGGATTCTTCCAGATTCCCCCAGGGTCATTGATTCCCTGTGGTCACTATAGGGAGTTGAAGTTCTGTTGGGGTGCAGTGGAGAGACTAGAGGGCTTGGGACAAGAGATCTGGGTCCCACTCTGCTTGTCACTTACTCCTGCGTAGCATGGGCATGCCTCTCTCTGAGCCTCAGTTTCTTCATCTTTAAAGAGAAAATGTCACACCCTGGCCGGGTTCTCGGTTGGAGAATTGTCCCATACACAGAAAGGTTGTGGGTTCAATTCCCAGTCAGTGCACCTACCTAGGTTGTGTGTTTGATCCCTGGTCAGGGCACATATGGGAGGCAACTGATTGATGTTTCTCTCTCTCTCTCTCTCTCTCTCTCTCTCTCTCTCTCTCTCTCTCTCTCTCTCTCTCTTCCCCCCTCTCTAAAAATCAATAAACATATCCTCAGGTGAAGGTTAAAAAAAAGAAAAGAGAATGTCACACACTTCGCAGGCTTGCTATGAACAATGTAGATGTGATTGTGCACGTGAAGCACCTGTAAATAATGATTTTATTGAAATTTGAGATCAGGCAAAGAATAGGGAAGGAATTCAGGGTCTGCCTGGCAGGTAAGCAACTCTTGAACCATCTACAGCTAAACTAAAGCTATTTTAGGACAAGAAAACGCTGAAGCCTGCGTGGTAAGAAACCGTGTATGCCAAGCTGACCTATTTCAGCTCTACCCAGTAACCAAGAAGGAAGAAAGCAAAAACTCCTGTTTTTAAAATATACTAGTATTTGCTTATTTGGGAGGCTTATTCATTTATTTAGCGAACAGTTATTTAGGATCCACCATGGTGCAGGGAATGCACCTCTGTGACCATCTCCAGCATGGTGGGCTTTTTAAAAAATACATTTTTAGTGATTTCAGAGAGAGGAAGGGAGAGGGAGAGATAGAAACATCAATGATGACAGAGAAGTATTGATTAGCTGCCTCCTGCACGCCCCCTACTGGGAATCAAGCCCACAACCCAGGCATGTGCTCTTGACCAGAATCGAACCTGGGACCCTTCGGTCCACAGGCTGACGGTCTATCCTCTGAGCCACACCAGCCAGGGCAGCATGGTGGGCTTTGGATGGGATTTACTGAACTTCCCCAGGGCAGGCAGAGTTCAGGGAGGAGGGAGGGGGCAAACATGGTGGAAACCCCCTAGGCGTCTGCCTCAGCTAGACAGGGGTGGGGGAGTCAATAGAAAGGCCTCAGCCCAATGTTTTTTATTTTTATTTTTTTTAAATATATTTTATTGATTTTTTACAGAGAGGAAGGGAGAGAGATAGAGAGTTAGAAACATCGGTGAGCCGAAACCGGTTTGGCTCAGTGGATAGAGCGTCGGCTTGCGGACTGAAAGGTCCCAGGTTCGATTCCGGTCAAGGGCATGTACTTGGGTTGCGGGCACGTCCCCTGTAGGGGATGTGCAGGAGGCAGCTGATCGATGTTTCTCTCTCATCGATGTTTCTAACTCTATCTCTCTCCCTTCCTCTCTGTGGAAAATCAATAAAATATATTAAAAAAAAAAAAAAAGAAACATTGATGAGAGAGAAACATCGATCAGCTGCCTCCTGCACATCTCCTACTGGGGATGTGCCCGCAACCCAAGTACATGCCCTTGACCGGAATTGAACCTGGGACCTTTCAGTCTGCAAGCCGACCTGGGACCTTTCAGTCTGCAAGCCGACGCTCTATCCACTGAGCCAAACCGGTTTCGGCCCAATGTTGTTTAAATGGCCCAATGGGAACAGCAAGACTTAGGCGATGTGTTAGGAAACAGGTGACCAAATAGTACCCAGCCAATGAGGAATTGGAGGAGGGACTAAATAAATAGGCTGTGTTCCCTGCCCCACGTGTGTGCCTGTACAATGGGCCACCACTCTCGTCAGTGTTATTAAAAGTCTCATTTTCACCCTAGCTGGTTTGGCTCATTGAATAGAGCGTCGGCCTGCGGACTAAAGGGTCCTGAGTTCTATTCCGGTCAAGGGTGTGTGTATGCCCGGGTTGTGGGCTTGATCCCCAGTAGGATAAAAAAAAAAAAAGCTGACAGAATAATCTAAACTTAAAAAAAAGTCCCATTTTCACCATGCTTCTGTTTCCCAGCCCAACATTTGAAATTCGGACAGGTGAGCCATTTCTCACGGTGGCGTAGGCCTTGAAGATATGAAAGTAAACAAGCCACACATTTCCCTGAGTTTTGTTGCAAAAGTCAGCCAGACTAAGGGAATATATTTTGCTTAGGAAAGATGCAGTGGTGGGAGGAACAGCTGGGTTTGGAGAAGCCATTGAAAGGGGAAATGGGATGAGAGACTTGTCTTCTTTACTTAAGATTAAAAAAAATTTTTTTTATTGATTTCAGAGAGGAAGGGAGAGGAAGAGAGAGAGAAACATCAATGATGAGAGAGAATCATTGATCGGCTGCTTCCTGCAGGCCCCACACTGGGAATTGAACCCGCAACCCTGGCATGTGCCCTTGACTGGGAATCGAACCCTGACCTCCTGGTTCATAGGTAGACGCTCAATCACTGAGCCACGCTGGTCAGATTTCACTTAAGATTTATTAAAATCTTAAGGTAACTTAAGATCTTTGACATCCTGTACCCGCTGTTCTAGTCCGCAAAGGCAGGAGAGGCCGTGGGGGAAAGTGATTAAAGAGCCAGGACTGCAGTCTTCTGGAGAAAGACCCTCTAGTCCGCCTCAGGCCGACCTCAGTGACCCTCTTTGAGAAAGGCTAGGGGACAGGATCCTACCGAGCTGCTCCCGAAGGCCTCTGTCTTCTTCCTCCCGCTGCCTGCCGCCAGCCTCCACTTCCGCCCTGAGCGCCTGGCACTGGCGACGCATCTCTGTGGGGGCAGTGAGCAGCCAGGTGGGGTGGAGGGGGAGGAAGAGGGGCATTGTGGGTGTGAGTGGCTCTGCTTAGTCCCGTGGGACAAGACCACAATGACCTTCATGGCTCTCGTGGTGCTTCTGGGGAGCGGAGGGGCCCCAGAACCTGAGACCCGCGCATGGACCAGGCCCGGCTTCCATGCCAGCTCAGGACGGGGTGGCAGCCTGCCCCTGCTCCCTCCCACGGGGTGAATGAAATTAAGGCGAGGACTGCATTTGTAACCCACAGAGCATCCACAGGGCGGCATCAGGCATCCTGGAAGGCCCCTTCCCAGAACCCCGAGGCCCTCCTCTCCTCCCTGCCGGTCCTGCCTGGGCTGGCTCTGCTGGGAAGCCTGAGACCAGCATGGCAGGTGGAAGCCTCCGGGCCTCACTTCCCTGCATCCTCTGGCCTCTGGGCTGTCCTCCCAGCCCCCCTGCTGCCCCCTGCTGCCCCCCTGCTTGGCCGATCACCTACCTGCATAGACGGCCTTCCCTTCCCTTCGGGCCTCCTCCAGCTCAGCCTCCAGCCCTTGCAGTCTCTGCCTCAGCTGGTCTTCTGAAGCCCTGGCTCGCCGGGCCTCACCCCTCCGCAGAGCTGGGAACAGGGCCAGAGCTCTCAGGACCCCCAGGGGACCCCCCTGCGCCAGCCTCCACGGGCCTGAGGGACTGACTCTGCCCGCCTCCGGGCACCTGGCAGCGGGCTTCCAGTCGGTCTCATTCTGCCTGCCCATCCCCGATCTGACAGGTGCTTCATTGCTAAGAGGCAAAAACTCCCTTTCTGTTCTGGCTCCTTAGCCCTCACTGCCCACCCCTTCCTCACAATCCCAACTTGTGACTATCTTTCCCTTTAGGGCAGCGGTTCTCAACCTGTGGGTCCCGACCCCTTCACAGGGGTCGCCTAAGACCATCGGAAAACACATATATAATTACATATTGTTTTTGTGATTAATCACTATGCTTTAATTATGTTCCATTTGTAACAACGAAAATACATCCTCATATCAGATATTTACATGACGATTCATAACAGTAGCAACATTACAGATATGAAGTAGCAACGAAACTAATTTTATGGTTGGGGGTCACCACAACATGAGGAACTGTATTAAAGCGTTGTGGCATCAGGAAGGTTGAGAACCACTGCTTTAGGGGATGTTAGAGATCAGCTCAGCCCCCACCCTAGCTCCAACCCTCCAAGCCCTGAGGATAAAGAAATTGCCTGGCCGGTGTGGCTCAGGGGTTGAGCATCGACCTATGAACTAGGAGGTCACGGTTCGATTCTGGTCAGGGCACATGCCCAGGTTGTGGGCTTGATCCCTCGTGTGCAGTGTGCAAGAGGCAGCTGATCAATGATTCTCTCTTATCATTGATGTTTTTGTCTCTCCCTCTCCTTTCCTCTCTGAAATCAATAACATATATTTAAAGAAAAAGGATACAGCCCTGGCCGGTTTGGCTCAGTGGATAGAGCGTTGGCCTGCAGACTGAAAGGTCCCAGGTTCGATTCAGGTCAAGGGCATGTACCTGGGTTGCGGACACAGCTGATCAATGTTTCTCTCTATCCCTCTCCCTTCCTCTCTGTAAAAAATCAATAAAATGTATTTAAGAAAAAAAGAGAGAGAGAGAAAGGATACAGACATGCCCACCGGCTCACTGCGATGGCCCCGAGCTCCCATCCTTCTTACCGAGGTGGCCTCGGAGCAGCTCCTTCTCCAGCGCTGCCAGCCCGCCAGCGGATTCCGCCTCCACACCTGCCGCAGGTGGCAGAGCCTCAGCGTCCTGGGCCTCAGCCCCCCCTGCCCGCACGCTCGGGGCTCTCTTCCTATGTGAGGGCTCCCTGGCAGCAGCTTCTACTGGCCCCCCCGTCCCCCGCCTAGCACAGACATGTGGAATGAATGTGCAGGAAGGCACAGAGCCGGAGAGGGGCTCAGGGAGGGGTGGGTGCCAGTGTCCCCACGCTCCCAGCTTCGTGGGGGCTGGATGTGAGGATATGAAGGGGAGGTCAGGAAAGCTCCATCCTGCCCTGGCCGGTTTGGCTCAGTGGATAGAGCGTCGGCCTGCGGACTGAAGGGTCCCAGGTTCGATTCCGGTCAAGGGCATGTACCTGGGTTGCGGGCACATCCCCAGTGGGGGGTGTGCAGGAGGCAGCTGATCGATGTTTCTCTCTCATCGGTGTTTCTAACTATCCCTCTCCCTTCCTCTCTGTAAAAAATCAATAAAATATATTTAAAAAGAAAAGAAAGCTCCATTCTGCCGGGCCCGTGTGGCTCAGGGCTTGAGCCTCAACCTATGAACCAGGAGGTCACAGTTCGATTCCTGGTCAGGGCACATGCCCAGGTTGCCGGCTCCATCCCCAGTGTGGGGTGTGCAGGAGGCAGCCGATCGATGATTCTCTCTCATCATTGATGTTTCTCTCGCTCTCTCCCTCTCCCTTCCTCTCTCAAATCAATAAAAATGTTGTTGGTTTAAAAAAAAGAAAAGAAGGCCTGTGGAGAACCCCACCCGATCCTTTTGCTGACCCAGACCTCTGTCCCCGCCGCCGCCCACCCTCTCGCCGCTCACCATTCTCCTTTGGCGCAGTGCCTTACACCAGAAGGAGGAGGCCACCGCGGGGTTTGAGCTGAGTCCCACTACCTCGGAGGACGCCCCTCCTCCCCGTTCAGGCCCCTAAGCCAGGAGGCCTCCATTACCTCTTCCCCTCCACCCCTGCAGGAGGCCCAGCAGCCCCCCTGGGGCTTCATTCACTCCCACTCCTTTTCTCCTGTTTTCCGGTTGTATATAAATCTCCTTGTTGACAATAAATTATTTTTTTTTATTAAGAAAAAAAAAAAAAAAGAAAGAAAAGAAAAGAAAGGAAAGCAGCTCCATCAGCTGTGCAGAGGGCTGGCTTCTCTCTGGAGCACCGCTGCTTGGGCTCCGAGCCGGGGCCGGGGAAGCCGGGACACCCGCCTCCACCAGCCGGCTCACCAGGGCCGGCACTCCTTTTCTTCGTCCGCGCTCCGGCTTTCATCCTTTCCTTTTTGGTCTTAGGTGGCAT